TCTTATTGTGATCCCTTTCAGAGAAGTCAGCAGTGCTAGCTGGGCACCGTCTAGTTCTTCTAGTCTCAGGGTCATGGAGGCTGAGGTTTATGTGGTGGGTATATGTTCTGGTTACCTAGTACTGTGCTGATGAGATATATACCACAAATGGGATGGCCTTAACAAAACAGTTTATCTTAAATTTGGAGGCTTTAGGTCCAAGTTCAAAATGCCAGGCTCTAGGGGCTGGGTAAAGGCCCCTCAACCTTGGGGTCCAGCTCTGCCTCCTACTTCCGGCCCACTGGAGCTAGAGGCGTTTCTTCATCCAGACAGCTGCTGGCTGCTGAGGCTGAGAAATCCCAAGGATTTTTACTTGACAAGTAAAAAGGCACAGTCCCGATGTTTCCGCACGGCAGGCCATTGACTTAAGTCCATTGTAAGTCCCAAGGTCGGCAGAGCATAGCAGGCTTCTGAGCAACGACCCAGCTACATGCAGGGTCCAAGTGTGCCATAGGCTAGAGATAATTCTCAAAGCTTCTCCTTATATACAGGAAGCAGACTCAAAGGCAGCTTACCCAGCTGCTCCCAGTAGATTCCACCATGGAATTGATTACCAGTCTCATCATGGGGAATACTACATCCAGCTGCCCAGCCACTCAACCAGGCCCAGCCAAGTTGATAAACAAACATAATCATCACAGTGTATTAATCCTTTAGAGTAATTGTTTCCTACGTTTTTGATTTTCTTCACTCTGCTTTGCTTTGGATGGGGAAAGACTGCTCACATCAGCTTGGCATTTTCTGCAAAATAAAAAAGCCTACTAAAATTTTGATAGATATAGCATTGAATCTATAGATCATTTGGAGAGGATTATAATCTTAACAATAGTGAGTCTTCGATGCATACATTATGTATCATTTATTCTATTGATGGGAGCTCTGGTAGCATAGTGGCTAAGACACTTGCCTGCTAACCAGACGGCTGGCAGTTTAAACCCACCAGCCACTCCTCGGAAGGAAGGTTGGGCAATCCTACTTCCGTAGTGATACTGCCTCGGAAATCCAAGGAGGGGTCGTTATGAGTTTGGTTTGACTCGACGGCACATAACAACAACAACAACAAATTCTATTGATAGGCATCTGGTAAGGAGTCCTGGTGGTTCAGCAGTTAAGCACTTGGCTGCTATCTGATAGGTCAGTGGTTCAAACCCACTGTCCACTCCTTGGAGAAAGATGTCTGCTTCTGTAAAGATTATGGCCTTGGAAATGCTATGGGGCAATTCTACTCTGTTGCATAGGGTCACTATGAGTTGGAATCGACTAGACTGCAATGGGTTGGATTTTAGGCTTCTGTTTCTTCTCTTTTTCATTATTGTAAATGATATTTCTATGAACACCTTTGAACATGTTTTCTGATGTCCATGTAAAGTGTTTCTTGAGATGAGGGGACATACCTAAGAGAAGAATTGCTTGGGCATCGGATATACTCCTCTTCAGCTTTCCTGGATAATGCTGTTTTCCAAAGGAGCTGTGCCAGCCTGTACTGTGGTAGCAGTAGGGGTGTCTCCATTACTCAGCATCCTTCCAGTGTGTGGTATGAGCAGACTTTTTATTTCAATTTTTCCAGTTTAGGAGGTAATAAAAATTTTATTTTATTGTGGTTTTAATTTGCATTTTCCTGCTTACTGATAAGATTGGGCGTCTTTACATGGGTATATTGATCATTGGGGTTTCCTCTTCTGTAAAATGTCTTTTTGTTCATTTTTCTAGTACGTTGCTTTCATTATTCTTACTTATTTTTTCAGCTTTTTTCATATATTGTGAATACTGTTGTACTTTGCCTTCCAAGATGTTTAGTTACCTTCCTTAATACTCAGCCACAGGTCATCTTTTAATTTATTTACTTGTCTGGTTATTCAAGGGAGATCTGGTGGCGTAGTGCCTAAGGCATTTGACTGCTAACCAGGAGGCTGGCGGTTCAAACCCATCAGCCACTCCTCGGTTCAAACCCATCAGCCACTCCTCGGAAAGAAGGTTGGGCAATCTACTTCTGTAGTGATGTTGTTGTTGTTAGGTGCCGTGGAGTCAGACCTGACTCATAGCGACCCCTCCTTGGGTTTCCAAGGCAGTATCACTACGGAAGTAGATTGCCTCATCTTCCTTCCGAGAAGTGGCTGGTGGGTTTGAACCGCCAGCCTTCTTGTTAGCAGTGAAGTGCCTTAGGCACTACACTACCAGAGCGGAAACCCAAGGAAGGGTCGCTATGAGTCAGATCTGACTCGACAGCAGTGAGTTTGTTTTTTTTGGTTGGTTATTCAAATAATTTTTAAAGACTCAAGTATAATTTTAGAAATTGTTTCCTTCTAGAATATTGCTAATTGGAAATAAATTTTAAAAAGTACCTTTTCAGTATTTTTCCAACAAATAAATTCAGATATTTCAGGAAGACCTGAAGAATCAGTCATTCTATAAATATTTTTAACAGAGGGTGTCAACCTTCACACTCATTAGAATCACTTGGGAGTCCTGATGTCCACGTTGCACCCCAGGCCAGTTAAATGATAATCTCAGTGGTGGGTTGGGTGTCTGAGGAATCATTATTTTTAAAAACTCTAGAAGATTCCAAAGTTGAGAGCAGCTGGTTTATAGAATGCTTATTACATTCAAGGTATACCTGTGGTGAGCCGATTATGGATAGCATTAACCCAGTGTTTCCCAAGCTTGCTTCAGCATAGCAACTACCTGGAACCCTAGTTGAAAATATTGATTCCCAGGTGCCTGTGCTTTGGATTTTGACCAGTAGGTTTGGTGGAGCAGCAGTTACAGCACTCGGCTGCTAACCAAAATGTTGGCAGTTTGGACCTATCATCCACCCCATGGTAGTCGGCTTCCCTAAAGATTTACAGCCTTGGAAACCCTGTGGGAGCAGTTCTACTCTTCCCTATAGGGTCACTATGAGTCAGAATTGACTCGAAAGCAACAGGGTAGATTTGGTATGGAACCAGGAGTTTGTATTTTTAACAACCAGCCCAACCTGCTTGTTATCAGACAAGTTTAGGAAACTGCACCAAAGCTTTAGCAACTGTGGGATCTTCAGAATAGTTGTTTTGAGAAGGAAATTTTAATTCATGGATTATTATGACTTTAATTGTGGATTAAGAAAAATTCTGGTTCCTGTTATCCTTCATTAAAATAGGTTCTGTGAAATCCGTTTGGGATAAAATCAGTGCACAGCTGTGTTCAATTTGCAGTTTAAATTCTCTCCCTCTTACCTCACTAGCAGGCAGTAACTCATCTCAGGCGTGCCAGTAAGGCGCTGAGTAGGAACTCAGGAGATGTCCCATCCCCGGGAATACTGCCAACAGAGTTGTTTGTTTTTCAACCCCAGAAATCTCTTGGGGAAATTGTTTAAGTTGGATCCCTCATAGAGGTCATATGAAAAACACAAAGTGAGGCATCAGAAAATGGAATTCAACATCCATCCAAATGTTCAGTGTCAGCACCATTGTTTTAACAGCTTATATTTCTTTACCCAAATAACGTTTGGACTGTAAAAGGATGTTTCACAATTCAGCCACATTGTTTACTTTTAGGCATGTAATGCTAAGGAGAAACTTGGTAAGTCTAATCATCTAGATATGGGGTAACAACCCCAAACTCAAAACATATGTCAACCTATCTCTTGATTCTGTCAATTTTCTGTGTGTTTTTTGCACATTGGAAATGCACGTTGAAGGACCTTTTCTAAATGTCCAAAGAATTATTTATTTTTATGTGACATTTTTCTATCTGAGATTCAACTGCTGAATGATAAAATACAGCAAAGTTATTTAATTCTCTGTACTGAATTTTGAATATGCAAAGACTTCTGGACATGTAATTTGGGTTTTGAAAATAAAAATAGCATTTTTATTCCTGATTACAAAAGATGGTGCTATCTGGGGTGTTTGGGGCCACGTTGTATGGTTGCAGCCTTCTGTTAAGAGTATGAAAATGTGGATGGCCTTTTGGTGATAGTGCAGGGATTGAGTAATTCTCTGTAGAGCCAAAATGTCTCCAGCATTGAAGAGCAGTGGTTCCAGAAAAAGATGTACTCTTTGAAGCTTGTCACGTTTCCTTTTAGAGAGAAGTTTGGGAATGAGTATAAATGATAGATGCCAATTTAAGAAACCCTAGAGGTTTAATTACAGGCTCATTTCATAAGAAAAATGCTGAAGGATCTAGATCATCCTGGAATCAATTAGTGGTTGGAACACAGTTTTGGCCACCTGAGAAGACAATGATGGGAGAATCAACCTTTGTTTTTCTTGATGGCTTTGAATTTTGGCCCTACTTCATTGTATGAGCAAGTCCTTATAGATAAGATTTCCTCAGCCTTATGGCCTTTGAAAAAAACCCCAAAAAGCACAGTGGATTGTCACAGTGGCTGCAACGATGGGCTCAAGTTTAGCAAGAATTGTGAGGATGGTATACGACTGGGCAGTGTTTCGTTCTGCTTTGCATAGGGCCACTCTGAGTTGGAGCCAACTCAAGGCACCTAACAGCAACAATAACAGTGGCCTTTGAGGGCTCCCAAGTAGTACAGACAGTTAAGCATTTCACTACTAACTGAAAGCTTGGTAGTTTGAGTTCTGCTCCTCAGAAGAAAGGCCTGCCGATCTGCTTCTGAAAGGCCACAGCCTTGAAAATCCTGTGGCGAACCTGCTCCTCTGACGAACATGGGGAGTGGCTGTATGTGGGAATTGACTTGAGGGCAACTCATTGGTTTATTTTTTGGTGGCTTCCTGGAGTGAAGTGATAGTGTCCTTCCTGAAGAGAGTCTATTGTGAGCAGAGCCTGGCTCCTTTTGTCAGGGGCTCAGTGATTTTGCTTATCATTACATCCTCAGTGACTCACACAGGGTTTTGGCACATGGTGAGTACCTTTATATGTTTGTAGAAATTGTTAATTTTCCAGGCCTGGAGCATCCCAACCAAGTCAAACGTGAAGAATGAATTTTCCTTTCTTTTCTCTTTTTCTAGTGTTCAAAGCTTCTTTCAGACACTAGCGTTATTCAGTTCTACCCAAGCAAATTTGTTCTTATCACGGACATACTTGATACATTTGGTAAGTATCAGTCATACTCATTTTAGATCAAGGAGATGTGTTTGTTTTTTTCAGGAATTTAGTGGGAGAGTTATTTTAAATTTGATTCTATTGTGGTTTAAATAACTAGATAAATCATGAGGGAGACCAACCCATTCCTCCATGCCCATTAACAAGGGTGCTGTTTTTAAAAGAATCTTGAATTTTATTTTTTGTAGGTTTCTTATGGTCTAGTGAGTGAGGGAGGTGGGGCGTACTGAGGCACCCAACCTGTCTAAACCAGCCCAAGTCCTTTGTGTATCATAGGCATCTGAAACTCACTTTGTCTAGAACTGAATTTTGCTTCTGAGTCCATCCCCTTTTGCTGCCCTGCTAGTGGGTTTCTGTCTCAATAGAATGACAACAGCATGTACCCAACTGCCCCAGTTGGAAATCTGTAGGGAGCACTGTTAAGTCCCATGTTCAGTCCATCACCAAGTCCTGTTGACTCAGGCTCCTGAGTCTCTCTCCTGTATGTCCCTTTTTCTCCATCTTCACTGCTCAGATCTTAGTCACAACCACAGGCCTTGTCAGCCTAGATGACTGCTATAGTGCCTATGAGGTCTGCCTGCATCTTGGGTCTGCCGGTAGTCCACTCTCCATGCTCTGGGCAGAATGGTCGTTTCAAGCCCTGGATAGAAGTCTGCACTGAAGAGAACAACCTCCGGCCCCCCTGGTTACTGGTGGTGATGAACTGAGCCACAAGGTCATGCTGTGTACCCCAACCGTGCAGCCTTCCCAGCTGTACATGATGGTCAGCAGCGAGGTACCCCACAAGCACATGGGAGATCAGAATAGGCATCAGCTGTGTTACCAAGGAGGGTCTTGTCAGTAGCCTACAGAAAGATCTAACGTGTTGGGGAAAAAGAGGTTAAACACAGAGACCCAATTAGTTCTGTATGTTCCAGGCCTGTCTAGGAGACTGGGACCGGACTGTATTAGCTAGAACTTTTTTGCCTATGAGTAATAGAAGATGCAGTTATACTAGCCTTAGAGAAGGGGGCATTTATTGGCTTATGTTGAAAAGTCCAAGGGCAGTTCTGGTTTTAGGCAGAGCTTGATCCAGCAGCAGTGTCATCAGGACCTCTTCTCTTCTTAGTGCTTTCCTGTGTGTAGGCTTTTATCACTCAAGATGCCCTCAGCTTTTATCAGTTTTACTGCTAGTGGTCCAGGGCAATGAAAGAGCTGCTTTTTCTAGCAGTTTCAACAGAAGTCCAAGAATTCCATCTCATTGGTTTGACTGGGTCACTGTCAATCCATGAGCCAGTCATGGCATATGGGGACTAAAATATGCTGACTCTGCAAACCTGGGTCACTTCAAAAGCAGAAGGACCATGCCATTATTAGAAAAAGGAAAAATAGATGGCTAAATGGGCCAAAAGAAGAGATATCTATGCTAAAGGATGGGACCCATCTAGTTCAGGTGTCCAATGCTCAGCACCAAGGATGTATCAAATAAAAGATAAAAATCCCTGCCTTTGTGCCACTTATGTTCCAGTAAAAGTGAATTTGTAGAACAAATACGTAAACCAGGTTGTCTGTTAAAAACAAAAGCCACTGCTGTTGAGTTGATTCCAACTCGTGAAGACCCCGTGTGTCAGAACAGCGAAGGTGGCCGGCCTTTGGGAAGCAGATCCCCGGGCCTTTCTTCTGAGGTGCCCCTGGGTGAGTTCAAACTGCTGACCTTCCAGTTAGTTGGTGAACACTTAATTGTTTGTGCTGAAGTACCATGGAGGAAGAACAAGTTGAGCAGAGTGAAAGGAAGTGAGGGAGTGGGCAAGGAAGGTTGTGCTTCTAAATCAGGTAGTCAGAGGTGGCCTCAGTGAGCGTTTGTGTGTGAGCAAGTAGTGGAAGGAGGCAAGAGATTAGTCCCTCAACTTTCTAGTGGCTTAAGCCAAGAAGCAGCCTGTGCAAAGGCCTGGGAGTGGGAGTGTACCTGGCAGGTTTGAGGAACTGTGAGGAGTCTGGGGTGACTGGAGTGGGGCAGGTGAGGGGAGAGGAGGAGGCACAGACAGGGCCAGAGATCAAGGTCGATCTATGAGCCATTGGAAGGACCTTGACTTTGACTCTTGGGGGGGTGAGGGGCCACTGGAGGGCATGGCACAGAGGAGTGATGTGAACCGATACGGGTTTTGACAGGTTCCCTGTGGCTGCTGTGTCAAAACTCGGCTGTAGGGGCATGCGTGGAAGCAAGGAGCCCAGGGAGGTGGCTGTGGTGGCATTCCTGGGGATATGATGGTGGCTTGGACAAGGGAAGGCTTTGGAGATGTGAGAAGTGATCAGAAACAGAGGACTGTGTCAGCTCTTAGAAAAGGTCAGTGTGCAATTTGTCCTGCCTACAGCTTGCCTTTGGCGACAGGCTCATTAGTCAGGGTAGAGAGGCTGGTTGCCGCGACTGGTTCTCCTGGCAGTCACATTTCTCGTGGTGCAGTAATGCTTGTGCCTTCCAATTTTCCTTGCCAGCCTCCTGAGAGTTTCTTTGCATGAATCAGCATCCCTGAGTGAGATTCAGTCTCTAACCTGCAGGCCTGGCCACATGTGGACCACGGGGGTCCTCACTTCCTGAGAACTTTGGGCAGCCACCTGAGCAGCCCCTGCTGGCAGTGCCCCATCCCGTGTCACACCTGGGAAAGCCAGAGTGTAGGGCAGATGCTTGCTGTCCTTGCTGTGTCCCAGGAAGTAGCTGGGCTGGGAGTTGGGAAGAACAGTTATAAACCCTCAACAATGTCCTTGGGCCAGATGCTATCCTGTCTGATTTACAGATATTAAGTTCTTACTCTACATATAAGCCCCGTAAGGTCGGGTCTCATCCTCATTTTATCAGTGAGGAAACAGAGGCACAGGGAGGTAAAATAGCTTGCTGAGGTTCAAAGCTGGGGCTGACATTTAGGTCTTTCTACCACCAAAGCACCTGTTTTTTTCTCTTGTTCTTTGCTCATCGGGGATATTTAGTTCTTCGTGAAAATTAAGTATGTACACTTTCAGCCTTGAAGTTTCACCTGTGGAAATTCATCCCATTTGTAGTAGCAAAAGGCTGGAAACCCAGAGGCCATCTGTAGCGTATTGGTTCAGTCAGTTATATGTACATCTGTACAGTGGAATTGGGCGAAGCTCTAAGATAGAATGGACACTAGCTCTCTGTCCCCAGAGGGTAGGTCTCCAGGGTGTTGAGGGAAAAAGTCAAGATGTAGACATAGAGTGCATTATTCTTGGTGTAAGAAAGGAGGACAAATTAGAATACATGCTCCTACTCATGTGTTTTGGTGTATAAAAACATTGGAGGGACACATAAGGAATGAATGAAAGTGCTTGCTGGGGGCAGGCAGAGCAGTCAGGCAGAGACTTGTTACTCAAGACCTGCTGTCTCTTTGAAGTTTGAACTGTGGGAATGCTTTCTTATTCAAATCCAAGATAAGCAGACAAAGCCCCTGCTTTCAGAACTGCCCTGAGACCCCTTCCCCGACTCCATGTCAGAATGGTGTTCCCAGGGCTATCATTGTTTGGATCTCTTTAGACTAGAACTGTTTCTCAGGACTGTTCATGGCAGCCTGTGTCTATAGGTGCTCAAGGAGACTTTACTCTGTTTTGGCTAGCTTGAGTGGAAATTTAGTGTGTTGTGGTCAACCTTATGTGCCTTGCTGTTCATCTCTGTCGCATGAGGAGAGGTGTGGCAGTGCAGGGTCAGGTGTTGAAACAGCTGTTGACCAGATTGATGGAAGGGGTTGTAACATTTTGTTCCTCAGGGATGTAGGACCCAACTTGGGCCTGTGCAGAGACTAGTGTGAAGGTCTCTTCTAGGGTGTTCACTAGAGGCACTGAGCATAGATGTTGGCTTCTGGAGTCTTTCTGTTGGTTTCCACACCTGGCTCTCCTCCATCAGAATTGTGTGAGCTTCAGTTAGTTCCTTCACCTGTTCAATGAGCATAATTGTCCCTGCCTTCAAGGGTTTTTTGAGAGAATTAAATGAGAGAATGCATGGGAAGCATGTATTTATCCCCTTTGAAAAGCTTGCTGGCAGGACCAAAGTAAATGGCTTTGAGCACTACCCGGTACGAAATAAGTGCTCAGAAAATGTTAGCAGCTATTACCACTCTTTTTAATTTAGTGTAGTGTCCTTGATTTATAAAGAAAATGAATCTGAAAGGAAAATAAATCTAGAATGGATCATTATTTCTAAAAACAGTAAATATATATATATGTATATATGTGTGTGTGTATCCTAATATATA